CCGCTGTGTTCACCCCGCATTATTAAAGTCACTAAGCTGAAAACAGAATGAATAAATATATAGCAAAAGTAATTTTTAATACCAAACATTCTACATTGTCTGTCTTATTGTCTAAAAAATGTGATGGGCAGTAATTCCGTGGACATAATTAAATAGACAATAACAAAGGTTATTCAACACAGAATTCAGGGGCCTGTAGCATTAAGACAGATTGGCTGGCAATCCGGTTATTGTTGTACAGCTTCAAAATACATTCATATAAAGTCGACCCTAAAACTGTGTATTCCTATATATATATATAAATATATATATATATATATATATATATATATATATATATATATATATATATATATATATATATATATATATATATATATATAAATGTGTGTATAGACACTGCAAAAAAATGTCTTTCTTAGAGACATTCTGGGGACATTCTTCATTCTTTCTTAGAGATCTAATTAAATTAGATAAAAAAATATCTAAAAAAATTTTTAATTAAAACAAGCTAAATAATCTGCCGGTGGGATAAGCAAAATAATCTTATTTCAATACTTACCCCATCAGTATATTATTTTGCTCACTTAATTTTACCATATTAATTTTGAGAACAATACATTTCATTTATCTAGAAAATACTTATTGATTAAAGAATTGTAAAATCTCTGAGCAAGGAAAACATTTGTTATAGTGTATATAGATGGTTTTGTATAAGTCTGAACTACAAAATAAGTATCTTACACTATATCAAATCAGGCTATGCAATATTATATTAGTGTTTTGATTTGAAATGCATATGCGAAGTGTAAATAATGTTCAGCTATGATGATAAAGAGCCCCTATTTTGCATTAAAAAGGTCATATTTTGGTTTTAGGGTCTCCAACAACTGACTGATATGCGTGCAAGGTCAAAAAAAGACTTTCGTTGTCTTATAATATGCATTTATTTTTACCTAGTTATCCCAACGACTCCCATATGATTCATTCAGTGATTCATTTGTTTCCAAACCCCTCCTTAGCGCGAAGCTAATCTGTGCTGATTGGACAGATGACCCAGTCTGTTGTGATTGGTCGACTCCATTCAGCTCGAGACAGAGAGAAATGCCCATCACAGCTATTAAGTAGCAGCCAGAGAGTATGTGAGAGCCCAATGCAGGAATGCAATAAAGCTGCGGTTCCCAACAGGGGGGTCCCAGCCTAAAACCAGTCCTCAACCACTGGTCCGTGGATCAATTGGTTTCATTTTATTAATTATTTGAGTCTGAGTAATATTTTATTTTGAAGTCTTTTATTTAGAAAAATTATCATATTCTCTCGCTTAAATTGTCACTTGAGTGCCCAAATTTCTTTGCTAAGGGGTTTAGGCCCAGTCAATGACCCGCGAACTGCCAAGGTATGGATCTGCAACCCATTTGTCCACAAATCAGCAGAATCCCACATCTGTGCAAGAAGATCAACTGATGGAGATCGCAAATGTTGGCGGCCTTTTAGGCGGCCGTTCGCATATCGCGTATTTTTAGATTTTGCACAAGTTTGTTCTTACAAATGGAGGTGCGCGGCTTGTGTGCACAAGCAGTGTGACGCACTCGCACCAATATACCCTGGGCCGCGAGCACACACAATCCATGACAAGAATTGACCGATCAGCTTCAGCTTATATGGAATATACACATTTCTGTATAACTAATTTTCTCAGACAGAACACACAAACACTTCAGTGCTTTGTTACTTTACTCCATAAATATAACTCGTATCAGAGTGACAGCAATGTTTTGTCAGCTTGTCATCTTCTGAGAAAATGATTGATGGTCACACCTCAACTGATTAATAGTACATTAGGCTATTATTTGTGCGTAAACATATCTAAATATAGTAATAAACATACTGTTTAAAAAAACAACATTTTTAGTCATCATTACTGCAAACTTATATAAGCGATAATATAATTAAATCTGGAGGGGGGCCCTACAATATTTTCTCGGGGAAAAGGGGGTCTCAGGCAAAAAAAAATTGGGAACCACTGCAATAAAGCAATGCAGTTAAACACCAGCATATTACTCTACTCTTAAACCTAACCCCAAGTAATAACAACATACATTTAGGGCCCTATCATACACCTGGTGCATTGTGGCGCAAGGCGCGGCGAAATAGTCATTTGCTACTTTCAGCTCAGCGCAAGGGTCATTTTGAGGTGTTGCGCCACACTGTTGAAATAGCAAATGCATTTGCGTTCATATGTGCGCCCATAGGCGTTCTGGTCTAAAAAAGCAGGCGTGTTTCGGCGTGTCGCTATTTTGAGAAACTGTAAATAGTTTATTATATCCATATTTATATTTGTTTTATTAAAAACAAGCTTAGATGTGTCCACCTGTCAGGTTTTAGACCATATGGGGCATAGCAGGTGTTTTTGGAAATAACTCAGTATTTTGACCACACTTTGTTATTAATGTTCATTTATTCGTTTGCTGGAAATTAGAACTGAATTTAGAAATAGTTTTAAAACAAATCTTTGCGCTCAACAAACAAAATTAATTATTTATAGACTAATTGATGTCTATGCGGTAAGGTTTCCCTATCCATGAGAGCAAAAGCGAAAGTGAACTTACTTTACGTTATGTTAATACCAAATGCACTTATGGCGCGACGCAGCTGGCTCTTAAAGGTAATTGGAGATGAGACTCTAATTGGTTTATTCTCAAAACACACCTATAACTCATTAAGAAAATAAACTCAACCCTTTTAGACCATGCGCCATGGCGCAAAGCGAATTTTCTCATCCTTAAATTAGCAAAAATGTGTTCTGACACGCCCTAAAAGCATTTGCGCCCTGCGCTTTGCACTCTGCGCATGGACCGTTAAAATAGAGCCCTTAGTATTAATTCACACAGTGGCAAAAAGCAACAGTTGCTCGGCTAGTGTGTGAAGGGAAAGCGCGTTCACAGTTTACTGGAACTACATATTTAGTAATGTACCGTGTCGACGTTGATGGAATCAATCAAAAGATCCGAACCTTGACATGAACTCGATTCATGTATTAGACTCTGAGTCAACTATTTTGCTAAAGGATCAATGGTTTTAAACACGATGCACTTTCAGATTTAAACCTCAGCAGGATGTTTTCATTCACTTAGTGCTGTTACACATTGCATTAAAGCTCATTTTCAAAAACCCATAGGGGCTCTTTAACATATTATATTTTTTGGGATGCATAAGTAGCCTAAATAAATATTGAGTGGGGTTTTGAATAAGTTCTAATTGAGAATTAAAGTGAATAGCTTTTATAAAAACAACAACAACAACAACAACAACAATAACAAACTAAGTAAATAAGAATTTCTGTGAGAATCAAATTAAATACATAACACCACAACCACATTGTAGATTGATAAGCACTTTTATTTGAAAGGTCTGTGATATCAACATATTAACCTAATTTTGAATAGCCCATTTAATTTGACTGAGAGAAATGCTACATATTCACATCTTCACAGTTTATTGTGGCTTCCTTACAACAGTGAAGTTGTAAATAAATCACTAGATGATGGGAAATACTCCAATCCCATTGAAAATAAAGCAGACACAAGTGGCTTTTAGAACATTAATATCCCTCAAGTTTGTATATAATATGAATGCAATTTTGTTTTTCAACATCAATTGGACGTTTCAAAGCATTTCAGGCATCAGTCAGCAAACCGCAGGTTCTAAATGAGAGACTTTCCGGATGTTAAATAGATTAAAGTAAGTGAAGTGAAGTAATTGCACAAACACCTGCTAATATCTGCTGGAATTCAGCATGGAAGAAAACCTGCCAAAAAAAAACTTTTTTCAGTAAGCCTGCAAAAGTCATGGCTGAGTGCAAAAGCTAAAATGCATCTATTACAGGGGAATAGCTTGAAAATTATTCTTCTTGGCACATCACTGGAAGTCTGATGTACTACACTGTAATTTTAGATGAAGATGAGATGCGTAACTCTCATGCTTGGGGGAGGGGATCTACTAATGTGCATTTAATACTTTGTTTATTACTCATCATCAATGTCAATCATAAAATTAAAGCATTACATAAATACTGCTTCATTTCAAATACTTTTTTGATTATGCCAAATCCAATTATTAATAATTAACCCAATTATAATCTGAATTACAGTGAAGTGTTCATCACACAAAAAGAAATAACATGAATTAACAAATTGTTCTCATAACCAACAATCCTTCTTAATTGCATAAGACTCATTCCAAGTCATTGTAAAACAGCCAGTAAACGCCTACATACAGTATGAGCACACAGTCTGAGTTTCTTGCTTGGGAACAATAAACAGTATAAATTTCAGTTTGAATAATAAACTAATTAGTGGAGTTATCTGTCATTGTCAGGCCATATTGCAGAAACATATTGAAATCTTGTCTAATTTGTTTTTAGCAACAGTCATTTTTTCAAAAAGAAATTATTACCTTTTAAATCTTCTAGTTAAATATTTCATTTTCACCCCAAAATTATCACCATTTTTAACCATTTTTACTCGTTTCTCATATATATATATATATATATATATATATATATATATATATATATATATATATATATATTTTTTTTTTTTTTTTTTTTTTTTTTTTAATTTATTTATTTATTTTTTTTTTTTTACTATTTAGATTTTTGAAATTCAGTGCCAAATGGGTTAAATAAGCATGTAATAAATACATCGTCTTTAGCATTAGGCTACTTTATGCTTCAGTGCCTAACTTGTTTAAACAATTTAAAGATGTACAATAAAATAATTACATTTCATAACAGTTAATTTTATACAATGAAGATGTATTGTTATGATATGTTTTAATGTAAGCTATTATAAAACTCGGTTTTGGAAAAAAGATCCGTAATCTTCGATAATGCTACACAAATATTTAGGTAAAAAAATCAAGTGCTTGTTGCATTTGTTTGCATAGTAAACTTTTTTTAAAACTGATTTTCATTTTATATATGGGTCCTGTAACTTTACCTGTACGATATGCCGCGGCTGAACGGAGAGTGTAGGGAAGTTCCCCCGGCCGTGGATCGGAACACATTCTCCCAGAATGGAGTCCAGACGCTGCACCTGCTCCCAGGACAAAACACAACAGCGCCGGTTCTGCTCCGACACATCCGCGGTGGACATGGCGAAATCAGTCCGGTGGAGAAGGAAGTGTGCTCGGCAGATGTCAGCTGGAACTCTCGACTATATGATGTCCAGATAGTTAGAGAGTTTAGTTTAGAAGTGAGTGTGCAGCTTAGAAGTTCTGACTATCGACAAAACAGGATCCAGACGTTTAAAAATGAACAAATGAACTCAGGCGTCTCCGTCTCCAGCAGCCCGTTACTTACACCAGCTTACTGTTCATTCACTGCGCCTGGAATAAGCCTACAAATACATTTAAACCTGACACATTTACATACGCCTCTCAATTGGTCCGCGGTATGAATAATTAAATAGCTTATAAAAACTTTGGTCTTTGTACACGCCCACGTTAACCACGTCACAATCCTCGCTGTGATCATTGGTTGTAGGAGGAGCATGATCTTGTGTGAGAGCATGTGTTCAGTTTATATGGTAAACACAAACCACGATTCTAAAAGCCAGTTGAGTTCGGTCTATAGTTTAGTTACACAACTTATCCAACAGGTTACATGTGTAAACCTATGGTAATGCATTCACAAAGTGTTCTTAATGTCAGAGGACAGCACAAATCTATAAATGAGTTTGATTTACAAACTTATTTATATATTTAAGTAAGTTTAAGCTATATGCAATGTTTGTTTCTTTCGTTGCTTTAAAAATTCTGAATGTCATTTGTCTGGTTGCTGTGTATTTTGACACTGCTTTATTGTATGTAAGTTCCATTGGACTAAATTATAAATATTTGAATAAATAATTAAATGTAGGCTACAATTAAATGTAAAGATGCAAATATAAATAGGCTAAATATGTGCAGAGAAAAGTCAAATGCATTGTGTAATAAAAAGTATGTAATAATAATGTATGTTCCAGGTTTCCTTTAGATTTATTTATATGAATATTAGTTCAATTTGAATTTTAGATTTATTAGTACAGGTAATTATTTATTTGTATATTTCTAATTTAGTTGGACAGTTCATTCCATAATTATAATGTATTAGTGTTTTTACAACACTGATCTATAATAATTATAAAACCTGAATTTTTATCTTTTTTCTTTCCCTTTTTTGGGGTGTGGGGAATGTTGGGTGTTATTAAATGTATTAGCATACATCAAACTCAATTAACAATTAATATTTTACAAAAGAAAATGTCATATTAATGTGTAATAATTGTACTTGAAAAGAAAATTTCTAAATATGAAATATTTATGAAATTTTAGTTGTCACTAAGCAACAGATAAATTTTTGTAAAAATTTATTATCATGCTTATTTAACTTACAAAAAAAAGTGATACTTAAAAATAATACTTCATCTTTGTAGTTAGATAGTAGTATCATAGAAAAATGCATTAGTAATTTCTGTGTTGTGCCTATCTGTGATCCTTAAAAAGAGTTATTTCTTTTTATATGTTATCAGATCATTTTTGTTCTAAATAAACCAGTCTGTCTGTCTGTCTGTCTGTCTGTCTGTCTGTCTGTCTGTCTGTCTGTCTGTCTGTCTGTCTGTCTGTCTGTCTGTCTCTCTGTCTGTCTGTCTGTCTGTCTGTCTGTCTGTTTGTCTTTGTTTGTTTGTTTGTTTGTTTGTCATTTTACTGAAAGACATTTTAGGAAATGAGGGAAAATGAAGACCGGTGATATCATTTGTACACATTTGCTTGGAATCTGATATCCTTATTGCTTTGGGTGGCTTGAAGCAGTGAAACAGAAAGTGTATCAACAAAACATTTATTACAAGTAAGCACCACAAAATACTATTATAAGCATTTTACAACAATACAGGAAGGCAGTTTAGAGAAAAAAACAGACACGCCAAACAAGAGCAATACAATTAAGAGTGTGAATAATAAACAGCAAAAAATATGACAGCTTAAAGGAACTGAACAGGAGATTTTACAGTTTTACAGCTGAGGTGAAAATATTTTGTTAGGTAATCTCAAGTGAGTTTAATGTGGGATGTAGTGACAGAATCTACAGTTTCTTGATTTTCATGCCATTTTAAAAGGACAGATCAGGTAAACAAATCTTAATTTTTAGACATTTTAGAGTGACGTTTAAAAAAAACTGTCAATTTTTTCCTTATTGGTTTGGTTCCTGTACGTCTTAAACTCTGAGACTGATATTATATTTGATAAGCTGCACAGGAAGTTTGAATGAGCTTTTTATAACCTGATCAAACAGCGAGGCCCTTACCTTTGCAAACATCCTTTATTTTCTCAGGCTCCGCACAGCAAACAGAAATGTCCTCAGCTTGAAACACTGCTTGTATATGACTATAATCCTGCTTCTATTCCGTCATAGAAATGTGATCTATAGCTGCCGGGCATATAAAAGACGTCATTGAAAGGTAACAAAGTATTATGTGGAGGAACAGAAACAAACGTCAGGCATAAAATAGAAAGGAAAAAAAGACTTTTAATGTTTTCTCTTTGTGATGAACGCTGTTGTAATAAGGAACAGGATAAAAAGCTGAACTGATAATTTGACACTAGATTGTCAAGGCTGTCACAACACATTTAGATATGCATGACACTATAATTTGTGGTATTTTAATGTGTACTAAAACAGAGTTCTACAACTCCCTTAAAAGAGACACGTTTCTTTATTTTTCCTGTTGTTTGTGCAGCTTTACGAAAGCTTTTGAATACTAACAAATCCTTCTACTGTAATAAGCAGTATGCAGTGGTAAACCCACAAAGATCTAGATACTGTTCACTAAGATGGTTGCTAAGAAATGTGTCTTTGTGTTTGGGTAGAGAAGTGTCTGTGGCTGTATTCGATGTTTGCCTCATAAATCTACACGAAATATTAAGCTGGAGCACACACAAACACACTCAGGGACTCTCAATAGAAATTATGAAGACTTGAGACAGACAGACAGACAGACAGACAGACAGACAGACAGACAGACAGACAGACAGACAGACAGACAGACAGACAGACAGACAGACAGACAGACAGACAGACAGACAGACAGACAGACAGACAGACAGACAGACAGACAGATAGATAGATAGATAGATAGATAGATAGATAGATAGATAGATAGATAGATAGATAGATAAATGTATAGTCCTATATGTTTTTAAGGCCATTTTGTTGACAAGCAAACATAGCTGTTTAATTGACATTATTTAATTGTTTTACTGTACACACATTTTATCATCTAACTCAGGATTTTTTTTCTTCAGATGTTATAGTCTCTTCTTAATGTATGTAGTTAGTCATCTATAATGATTGTTATATAAAATATCTGGTAAGGGAAATTAGTTTCTGCTATAGTTTTATATTAAGTTAGTGTTTTTTTTTTTTTTTTTTTGCCCTGATTGTAGTAATTTTTTTTTTCAATTTAACAATATTAGGTTTATTAATTTGAATTAACATCATTTTTATTTGTCCACATATAAATATATATATATAAAGGATATATATAAAGGATATATATAAAGGATCATATATATATATAGTAAAGGACAATATTTGGCTGATATACTGTAGTTCAACTATTTGAAAATCTGAAATCTTGGGTTTCAGAAAATTGCCTTTAAAGTTGTGCAAATTAAGTTTTGATATCTTAAAAAAATATTTGTGGAACATCAAATAATATTTTAATGATAATTGATTTAAAAGAAAAATATTTGATCTGTACAATGGCTATATACCTGTGCAACATAAGACATTTTTACAAAGAGGAAATGCCTTTTCCCTTTTGCATTTCCTTGTCCTTGTTTCATTCCAGTCAGTATGTGATGACTGTGCTCACATATGAAATGCAGTGGTGAGACATCAAATACTAGGTCTGTCAGATGAGTTTACGAAACCAGATTTTTGACCCAGACAGGCTTACTGTATGAGGCAACTGTCTAATACTTAATTGTTAACAAATTAACCTTGGTCACAGTTAAAACGTCATCTTGGTTCTACAGTGAAAAACATGCAATTTCTCATCCTTACAATATCATAGCAAATTTATCAATTTACAGTTCCTACTGGAAAAATAACTTAATAAACACAAAATATTTACTAATATTCATATTATGAAATATAGGTTCCAAAATGGAACCAATATGTAGTTTTTTTTAAGAGCATTTTAATAAAAAGTATTTAAAATGAACCTTTTTTATTTCTTAGTGTAGCCTCTATATATTCTTCTATGGCATAAACCCTTAGCTTTACTTTTAAAAGTGCGTAAGGAACATTTCAATAATAATATAGAAAGATTATAAATAATATGAAAAGATTCTATAGACATTAATTGTTTTTTACTGAACTACTTGTATAGATACCACAGAATCTTTATTTATTAGTGTAGGTGAAACATTTTAAACAACACTGATACTTACTTGATGCTTTAAAATACTGATATTAAACAAAATAAATAAAATAAGAAGCTACAATGATTTATGAATTAAACAACAGAGCAACAGATGAGCAGTAAATTGACTAAAGGCGCAGTTTTGAATCCACGGGTACTCTTTTTCCACCAGATTTCCTCCAGTTTTCTGTTTTGTTGACCTGACTATACCCAGTCTAAAAACAAACATAGCACAATCTAGTGTTTGGTACAGACACTTTAGCACTTTAGATTTGTTGTTCAAAGTTCTGGGTGTGCTACCAGCAGCTCACATAATCTGCCCAACCCAGGTTCAATAGAAATATGTGACTCTGCCCATGTTTCTGCAGAACCTGAAATACATTGCTCCAGTTATGTTTCAATGCACTTTTGTTATGAAATATCCACAAAAGCATATTGTTTGAATTGTGTACACTAAACAATAGCCTTAGACTAACCAACAAAGTTAACCTAAGCACGTGAGAAAAGTCCTCAATTGCAAAAACACCCATGCTCTTTTATCATGTATTTGCACAGCTTAGTGCTCACTGTCAAACCATGTTTTACAACAATTATACTTGTCTAATTGTATTGTTTAGCACACCATTTGAGCAAGCAAGTAAACGAGTGGTCTCAAGCTCAATTCCTGAAAGGCCACAGATCTGTAAAATTTTGCTCCAACTTAAATGTCATAATTAGTTGGATCTTGTGTGTTTGATTAGGGTTGGAGAAAAACTGTGCAGAGCTGTGCCACTGCAGGAATCATGTTTGAGACCTAACTGACTATACGTATATGAAAAGTAGCCCATATATCAATTATAAACGTTTTTGCTCCATCCATGTTTGTCAGCATTTTAAGGAATTTGTAGTATTGTGCTAAGAACTAT